AATTTTTAAATTAGTACAATCAATACTCAACTCAAATAATTTGCATTCATAAAGTCCTAAAATTACATAATTCAAAATATTACAAATTCAAATTATTATCAAGAACAAACAAGGTAATTTGTTTACTAATCCGTCCAATTTTCATTTGTATACAACATATTTTGTTGAAGATTATTTTTCCTTTAGTTTGGGTTACTGAAAATGATCTAACTCTTTGTACTTTTAAACGTAATTGTCTAGCTGTTTTGGAAGAAATTATTGATATGGTGGCACCACTGTCTACAACACACTCTAGACGTTTCTTATTGGGCAAATATCCCGACACCTTTAATAGTCAACTACTGTGAGGGGTTTCTGGGGTTGGTTCTATTGCAAGGGGGCGTAACATTAGGTGTATCAGATCTCTCCCCTTCTGAAAGGACAAACCTGAAACCAGTGAAAAGCATTTGGGATTCCGTTCCGGGTGCAAAGTCTACAGGGACTGGGTGGCAATGGCAATCTATTTTGAGAATTATAATTATGATGGCTTGTAAATCCTGGACCACTGAACCGATTATAAAAAATTACTTGGTCTCTGAAAACGTTGGAAATTGTTGGGTCTAGGAGAATCTTGTCTCACAGTAGCTGAAATTCTACTTCTATTAAATCGATTGTAATCTTGGGGACTGTTCCCAATCGGAGTAACAAATCTGGGAGGTGCACTTTTGATTTGTTGATTTTCGCTAATCTTAATAAGCTTATGGACATGAGTAAGCCAAGAGATGGGGTCAGAGGGTGCGTTGATCGTCATTAAGGATTTTAATTCTATAGGAAGGCCATCCGTCAGACCCTCCAAGATCATTTTCATGAGTTAGATTTAATTTTTTACCAATATCTAATTTTTTTGCGAAAATATTGCGTTATGTCCTCTTTATGATTGTACTTGTAATTGGCAAAATCACCAAACGTAGTTAAAGTGGGGGTCGAAAAAAAATTTTCCTTTAAAATTTGGACTAATTCCACATATTTAGTAATTTTATGGCAGTTTTTGACATATACGCTAAGTGCATTACCTTTTAGATATCGAGCTACATTATTAAGCTTCCACGTTTCATCTTTATCTAAATGAGTTTTGTTAAAGTACTCAAGCCATGAATTTATATCCATATCATTCTGCGCGTCAAAGGGAATTATACTTGTTTCAGGTTCAGCGCTAGCTGCCCTTAATGAATCATCAGGATCAGAGAGGTTTTCATTAGCCATTATTCTTAATAATACTTTCATAAAAAAAACTAAAATACATTCATAAATAAAACTAACTCAAAAAATAATACTCTTTAAATTTTCCCAAAACAATATTAAAACCAAAATACATCCTTTAAATACCAAATTTAAAATACATTTATACCAAAATAATACTTTTTAAAATTTTCAAAATAAAAAACACTATTATTAAATCAGTAATTATAATTCAATAGTAATAATATCATTTGCATCGCCAATCTTTTTTTTACTAATTGCTTCTGTTTGACTTATTGTGACGAGAATACGAGTGATGAAATCGACACGAAAATACACATTTTTGTGCACTCTTGATTAGATTTTCGCAAAACACGATCAATCACCACACAAGCACAAAGCTCTCGAGAGCAACACAGAACGGCGTAGACGTAGGGAAAGATTTCCATCCTCAAAAGTAGGTCAACGGTAAGAGCACATTTGATGAACGACGAACTTTCGATGAAAACACAGATCACGCATCACAGGGGGCAGAAGGATGCTTCTCTGGACGTAAAATAATCTGCAGAATACCAGAATACAGGTAACAGAAGGATGATTCTCTTGAAGCAAGAACGCCTAGAGAAAAATGTAGAAACATAGAAGTCGCACAGCGGCAAATTCATCTAAGTGCGTAACATTTTATCCGTATAATCCTTGGGGTATTATCTTCTTTTTTAGATAATCCCTTTGAAGGTGGTATCCTACCGGCTTTCTGAAATGTAATTTCTCATACATTATTTGTTTTGTGCAGCCGGGGCAACAGGAATGAGACAAATTTTGGAATATAAAGTGGTAGGTTTATTTTAGCATCCATCTCACAAGCGTTCTCCTCGTACCTTGAGCAGAAGAAGCCCTACTTATACATATGTGTGCGTCACGAGGCTCCTCCAATCAGCGATATTAATTGAAATCACGAGGTGACGCTATCTTCTCATCAGGAGTGTTCTTAAGGACTTTATGTAATATGACAGATTTATGAGTTTGGCGATTTGGCGGGCGCCAACAGGTTAATATATTTTATACTAAAGAAAGGATTTCGCCAAAATTTAGGAACAGGGATGCAATTTAGGTAGAGAATCGCCAACACATTATTAAGCAATATTAATAGAATTTAATTTAATCAATTGATTTAAAAATATTCATTACATATATATATATATATATATATATACATATATTGTGTGGTGTGTGGTGTGTGCGTGTGTGTGTGTACTTATTCTTGGCAATTTCTTAGGTTTATAATTATGGTCGTAATTATCTTTAAAAATAATGAAAATACGTTATTACTGTATATATTGTTATTGCGTGAGAGGGAGCCACAATGAAAACTTTTATTGAAAATTGGGTCGCAAATACTGAGAAAGAAGAGTCTGACAAGCCTGTGAAATGCTGCCCCAGCAAGATATGCCATAATTAAATAAACCAAACTAAACATCCATGAAGGCATCACCGTAATTAGAGATGTACGGAACTTCTTTGAAAAGAAGGATGAAATCTGCGGAATTATTTCCATATAAAATAAAATACATATTTCACAGTATAACCAGTTGCAGTTTTTGAAGAGTTAATTGTGTTGATGCTATAAAATGACAAATTTAGGTTTGAAAATATCCAGTTTAGTATTAAGCCCACTTTTGGCTGAATAGATATACCAGAAAATGTATATGGTGACACTGGGTAGATCTGAATGGCATTTCGATATTATAATATAGTTATACCCTCACTTTTCTACTGTGTGGTGGCTAAAATTTTCTGGATTATAAATAAGCTCAATATTCATAAAGAGTACCGTTACTCAACAGAATTATCTGCAAATGTATTAGATCGAAAATTTGTATTCTGATGAATATATTCTCGTCGTAACTAAATGATTTACCATTTTTGGCTACTGAAGGATGAAGAAGATATAGTATCTTCAGAACCGAAACATAATAAAGTATTTGAAAATGATGAAAAAGAATATATGATTTATCTGAAATCAATATGCTTATTGTATTTAAATTTACATAGGCGTGAAGAATTACTCAAAATCTTTTTAGTATACGCTTGTGTGCGTGCCACATGAACTTGAGCTATGTTTAGGTGATCTCATCCACACGTTCGAAAGCATTAATTTGAGTAAGTCGCCGCAAGAAGAAATCTAAAGCGATCAAATCCGTCTGCACCGAACCATTTTTCCAGCGAAAAAAAACCTTTTGAGTTCTTCCAGCTATTTAAACTAAATGCAATAAACACAAGGATTTTGGATGAAGCTTGACTTTACTTGGTCGTACTGCACTTAAGGTCTCGTATCCCTTATGCCGAGGAGCTTACAACGTGAGGAAGGTTGAGGAAAGGATTAGAGAACAGTCAATATGAAATGTCGACTGAAAATATACCATATTTCTTCGCTTATATCCCCCTAGCGAATATCGCCAGGTTAAAAAAATTTTAAAAAAATATTCGCATAATTTCCCCGTTTCTCAATAAATTCAGGAAACAAGCTCTACTAAATTTCTAAAATCGATTCGCGCATGTAGTGATTGTTTTCATCTTCCTCTTTAAGTACCTGCGAAAGTCAGGACGAATCCTTATTTTTGAACTGTCGAATGTTATGACAGACTAACACATGAACACGTTAATCACAGCCAAGCAAACACGGATTAATATTCATTCAACAAATTCCGCTGAGTGAGCTGCAGGTTCACTTTCTCTAAATTTGTATGGACGATTTGAGACCTAAGAAGTAGCAGAGATAACAATGAGAACGAACGAGATTAAGTTTACGAGGAAGTAGAAATAAAGATATCTTATTAGATATTGTAATGTTAATATGACAATGTGTATTGGAATGTAGGGTTTTTTTTTAAAGAAATGTTATTGTGATACTTACTAGTAGTTTATCCATGACTGCAATTCATTTGTTGTGTTCTTAATTCCAATGCGTCTTTTGGAAAAATTAATTATTTCCATAAATTCTCCCTTTGATTTTCAAACGATAAAATTAGTTAAAGAGGAGGAGGGAATGAAAAAAGAAATACTGCATACGTAAATATGTGCCACTCGTTTCTCCAGTCTTCGTGCATTTTTATGACTGAAAACAGCATTTAATGAAAGCATAATATATTTGAACTCAGAAAATTCTTTGAAAACTGTACCTAATATTCACTTCTAAGGCCCTTTATAAATCGTCTGTTTATTTAGGTGAGACTGGCTGCATTTCAAATCAATTTTGCATGGAAACCTAAATTTAACTGGATAAATTTAAGAAACACTTATTCGGAAGATTTGAAACTTCATATTTCGGTCTTTTAAATAGTGAAATTACTAAATTCGCTGTTCTAGTTTATGACATTCAAATATCTGATAGCGAATGTGCAAAGCATATGCAAAGATTGTGGAAAAGAATTCATTCCTTCAGACTGAAATTGATATGAATTAATTACCTTACATATATTTTACATACATCTATTACAGTTTCTTGAATCATACAGACAATTTTTATACAACTTAATTTTAAAGAAATTTGATATCTTTATTAAAATAACATATTTAGTATTCAACCAGATAATATTCATGTTTGCCCTAAAAATGAGGATTTTAGGAAGAACCTTAGAACATTAGAACATTATCATAGAACATTAACAATATTGTTATTTTATTTTAAATATTTCTAAGCTTGATTATACTTTTGTATTTTGTTCTTAAATAAAATATGATGAAGTATTATAATATTTATAGAATAATTCATTTATTTTCAGGAACATATTTTGAAGAAGAAAAATTCAAGTAAGTGAAATTTTTATTTTTTTTAATTAATCCCCTCAAACTTCTTTCGTTTTTATCCTCGCCTTTTCTAATGCAAGATTCTATATTCAGAAAAGAGATAGCTGAAAAGGTATTTTTTAGCTTCCCTTGTTACAGATTTCTATAGATACTAGATTATCTATTTAGTATCTGCTACTTAGCTGTTTTATTAATTTGCGTAAATATTTAATGTAAGTTAAATAAATATCCCCAAATTTGACAATAATGACTGCTCTGGAAATTTCCTTTTGCCGCTTAGAAAACCAGAAATTACATAGCTTCTATCTTATTTCTGTTAAAGGCAAACAAATGGCTTTTCCCAGCCTTCGTCTTTCGATCTAACATGCGAGACACTACAACTTCTATTCTGTATTCACCGTGTTAGTAAAAAAAAGACGGATTGAGATCTAGCGAAATTACAGTCGGCAATAAGATTCTTCTTATTCGTGATAAGTTAACGTTGAAAGACTTCATTTTGTAATTAATAAAGCTGAAAATTGATTTTTAGAAAATTTAGACATTCAGTGAAAGACATTTATATGAACCAAAATTAGCTAAATATCACTTGTTTTTATACATCTTCTTTCTAGAAGTTCTGTCACTGCAGATCGTAAAGCGCGTGTTTTACAGTTTTCAATTCAAGGAGTCTGTAAGTCTGTAAAGACTTACTGTATTATGACTGAATCTATCAAGCAAAACTGCTGAATATTCAATTAAAATCTGCTAGCGCATTACAGAAACTAATATGAAAAATATGCTTATCTCAGTAGCAATATTTAAGTACTCAACTTGAAAGCAATAAAAAATATGCTTACATTTTTCTTGCATTTCAATCTAATGCTGGACCATTACTATGCTTAATCATAGGAAGGGGCCATCCAAAACAGCTGACTTAAGCGAAATGATGAGAAATAAGTGCCAATATATCGTTCATCATTATCGTAATCGTTTTTATCTTTTTTGCTTCACTCTCTCTTATATTCCTCCTCGGAATTTCAATTTACTTACCCGCTAGCGTTACACAAATCAGGAACACGAACGTTTAATTAATTATTTCCTGAATTGATTATCCAAACTTTCTGGAAACATTATCTAATCGCCGTAACTGTTTTTTTTTTTTTTACTTTTTTTTGCGTGCAATAGATGTGATTTACAACGAACATTAAAAGGATTTGAGGGCAATTTCGAAGACGCATATGTTCCGAGGAGATTCGAAGAGAACGGGGTGCTTGATCGAGAAAATTAGCTGTGATTTTCCGCACGATTTCATATCATTTGATACATCCGAGCTTTAGCTTTGCTATTGAAAGTAAAAACATGTCCGAACATATTTGTCGTTCTTCGAAAAAAATTCCAATGAATTTTATATGTAATTTCATTGATCTTCGCTCCCAAGTTTATTTATGGAAAAGCAACTTGATAACTCAAAAGTTACCTATCATTTTCAGTTTTCGGTACCAAAATTAACTACCTGAAAAGTTTATTTAATAGGAGAAGGTATGAAAAATATCATGACATTTTCTACAGCTATAATATATTTTAAAAACATATTTTACAAACACCAGACATAATTTTTACTTTTTTAATGACGATTGCTAAAAATTTAACTTAATATTTTTTTTTTTATTTATTTTCTTTAAAGATTTTTATTTCCATAGGAATATCAAAATTCAGGCTAACGTTTCTGCTCGCGGTGACTGTATCTTCTTAGATGTTGAATCAGTATTCAATGAAAAACAGATTAACTAAAAAGGCCACACTTAGACGAACATCAGAATATATTTAAAACAACATTAAAAATTACAATTCAAATATTATCTCTCAAAAATACGTCGTTAGCATGTCATGGCATACATCATTCTCGCCGCTCGTTCTCAGCGCGTTCTAATTAGAGAAGAGTTGAGTTGCAGTGTGCTTCTCACAAACGTTAACTATGCACGAAATTTTAAAGGCTCTGTTTTTCACAATGATAACTACACATCCAATTGTACTTAGTCTTTAAATGTTGGATATAGGTTGATTGGATTGTAGTGTTCTGCATATCTAGAAGCTTGTTATATTGTCCTACAGACACTGCCAGGCAGGAAGCGAGTTATCAATGAGTCTAAAACAAAGACCATTGTAATACATTCAAATAAGATATGAGAAAGGTATGTAAGATGCATCATTATTAAGCACAGTCTAATAAACAACATAATTACAGAAAAATTTCAGAATAAAATCAACTTCCGAAAGTTATCAAGTAATACACATTAAACTTGGAAATTTCTCGATTATTTTTTTATTCATATAATAATCACACATATTTTAAAGAAGATTTGCATAGTCACTGTTTAAAAATTCTTATATTTAGAAGCGTAGTTAATATATATATTGTTTTAAAAATTCCATGTATTTTTTAGAATAAACAGAAGAACTGCTAGATTTGTTTCTTTAAGAATATCAATATTGGCAGTAATTCCAGAAAACATTATGCAATGGTACAAGATGCACTGAGAAATTAAAATTCAATTAAGATTTCATCTTAATTTTCAATTAAGATAAAAATTCGTTTTTACTGACCCCACCTGTCCATATAACGAGATCAGAACAGTGTTTTCAATTTTCCATGCTTGTGAGCAATGAAAAGACAAAATAAAGGTTAGATTAAGATATTAAGAATAAGACTTCTTGAGCAAAAATTAATAAAAAAATATTTTATTATTCTGTCAATTTTCCCAAAATTCTGTCCAAAATATAGAAAAATTCACATTTTTCAATAAAACATGTTCATTTCTTGTTAATACGATCTGTATATTTATCGTTCCGTCACACGTTCGAATTTTAGCCATCAGTTCTGTGTTTATAAATCTCCCCATAAAATTCTGTTAGAAGTTTCCACACTACAAGTACAAAATTCCGAAAGAAAATTGCCTCAACAGCCAACCTATTGTCATGCTTGCTAACTTTGTAAACATAAAATGTCAGAAGTTCTTAAAGGAAATCATCGTAAGGATAGTTTTACGGGCGAAAAATGATATAGTATGTATGAGCCTTTTGAAATATTACGCAGGAAAAGCCTCTTATAAAATTATAAAAATTGACATTAAGTGGATTTCATGTTTTTGCTAAAAAAATTATTTGGAAACTGCGATTTTAACATTCATTACCTTATTTATTTTTTTAAATCGAAAGATTCATATATCACCAAATTGAAAAGTAACGGCAGTTTAAAAAATGTTCCGTAGAAAGTAAAACTTTTTGTTTTAACGCTAATTATAAAACTTAGTTTTAGAATTTTATCGTTATTTTAGTAATTGTGTATTATTTATGATAGCTTTTGATCGTATTATATTTGAAAAAACTTATCTTAATTTCCCAGACTACCGAATATCACACTTATACATGATCCGCCGTAATTAAAGGCACTATACGGATTGATCCAGTTAACGTATGAAATTATTTTATTGATTATATGAGTTTGTTTATCAACATTTCATTCTTACATTATAATTGTCTAAGAATTTCATTTTTACCCCTGAGCAATGTATACATATGGGTCACGAGGCTGAAAAGTCTGGGAGACACTTCTATAAAATATAATCCGATCCAATTTCCAGTTGAACAGCAAATAATTAACAGTGCATTTGTTTATGAAATGTATTCTAGTTTTCAAAAGGGTTTGTACCATCTAACATGAAAATAATTACTTAATAATCTTAAGAATGATTTTGTGTCTTTATTTAATTGAATATGGCAAAGCATATGAGAGCTGTCTGACAAAAGCATGGTTTCGTAGAAAATTTTTTAAGGAAAATAGGCTCATATTTTCAGGAATGACTTATTAAGGAGAACCGTGAAAATATTTACATATAGTGGTAAGTTGCAGAGGAGATCGTGCGATCCCTTTCTAAATTTACCTCTCATTTCTAAGCCCTTTGTTCTTTTTGTTTGTTAGTTAATTTATTCAAAGAAAACCATATGTTACCCATTGAACTTCGTACGTTAGTCTGAACTACCTTGAAACTCGATGAATAATATTTCTGTGCAAGGAACAGATTTTTGACTGTGCAATATATTTTAGATTTTTATCCTTAAATGGAAAAGATTTAAGAAAATTTTAAAAAATCACCGCTCGGCTTAGATCCTTTTAGATCAACTGATGAGAAAGGAAAAAATAACCTGCGGTAAATTGGTCCGCATACATTTATTCGCTATTTTATTTAATTTCTGTCTAGTTTGTAATGCTTATACTTTCAAAAATTTTAATTTTATTTAAAAAAATTAAGATATTTTCTTTTTTATTCATAACTATCGGTATTTTCTGATTTCATAAAATGTGAAGCGTTTAAATATGTTAAGATTTGGTTAATTGTTTAAGCAACTCGAAGACTATCTGCCTACAGGGATGATATCTTCGTAGAGGGCTTTCGTAGAAAACTGGCTCTTATCTATGTTACACATGGCGAAAGCCAACCACGTAGCCAGTCTGTTCGCCAGAATTTGATCCCAGGGTCAAACTACCAGTGTTCAGAAACATTACCGCACATTTAATCAGAATTTGGGATTTGCTTTCATAAGATAAAATACGAATCCTATGCTAAAAGTTTCATAGCAACTGGGAAAGAATTACCAAGTTGATCATTTCATTCATTGGTCTTATCAACTTGAATGCAGTAAGAGTAAAGAGGAAAATTTAAAAAAAAAAAAAAAAAAAAAAAAACATAAAAGCAATGGTAAATCCATTTCTAAATAATAATTTTAAAGTATAATTTTCTCAGCTGTTTGACGCCTCTTTTAAAAGACCACGTCATTAGACCTTACCTATTGCCTTTTCGTCTAAACGGTTATAATTACGTGATCTTTCTGCAGCAGGACATGCCGAAACTTTTAGATAACGAACAGATTTCTGCACTGATGCGACAGACAGTGTGGCTCTTAACACAATGGGGACCCTTTCTATTTCAGCCATAGAGATCGTACCCACCTAAACATCAGATTTG